CCTCCCCCGACGCTGGGTTGCAGCGGGGCGAGCCGCGGCCCTCGGGGGAACTGCAGAGCGCCTTGGCATAAGGCCGTAGCAGCTTTGTTGAGTGTGGTCTCTCCGCCTGCAAGGGGGTAGTGGCCTGGTTACCAGCCGAGGGGCGGAGGAGGGGCGAGAAGGTCTCGGTGGTGCCTGGCCCCCCTCTGGTGGGCTGTCAATAGCGACAGGGGCTACTGAGGAAGGTGCGGGGGGCATGGCTGAGCGGGCTGCTTATTGCCTTGCCATGGTGTCTGGGCAGAGGCGGGCTCTGCCGCACAAAGGTGTCGGTAGTAACTCCAGAAACAACACGGCGATGCAATAAAAAGTTATTACGGCTGTTTGGTTACCTTTGAGCAAGGGCAGAATAAAACCATCTTAAACATAGAGTGGGAGCTGATACACTGAGACCTTCCCAAATTTAACTTTCTTACCTGAAGAAACTTGCAAGTCCAGTGATTTCTGGAACAAGTGTCCATGATGCATCTTAGTGTTACTGTCAGGGGTCCCTTTATCTATAGGCACACGCAACTTTTGAGATACGCATCCATTTATCTTGTGGATATACATGCACATGATGCATCTTAGTGTTACTGTCAGGGGTCCTTTTATCTATAGGCACACGCAACTTTTGAGATATGCATCCATTTATCTTGTGGATATACATGCATGTATATATGTATATACATGTGTGTGTGTGTGTTGGAAGGGAATGCTGATTCATCTATTCTAAAGTTCCCAGATGTGCTAGAGTTGGTGTGCTGATTTGTACTGGTCCTTCTCCAGCAGTAAGTAGAGCTATGTATTTCTATTTACAAGGTGCTACAGAGAGCTCAAGTTCGTTACTGCTTTTTTATTTTCCTTAATAAGTGATGGAAATGCCATCAATATTTTCTGTTCTTCTTGCTCAAGAAAACCTAAGGAGGCACTTTAGGTCTTGTCATATCGTCAATGAACTTACCTATGTTGACATACATTCTTTAGGTAGAAGCATAAAAAGTTGAGAGCTGGAAGGCACTTAAAGAATTAATTTTGTCCAAACTGCCTGAGTCAAGGTAGGTGCAGTGAGAGAATGAAAGCAGGTTTCCCATCACGTGGACATCTAAAGAAGCGTAGGTAGAAGGAAGGCTTTCAAACTATGTCCAGTTTTCAATTTCGTAACTTCTTTTAAAGCTACAGAATGTTTATGGGTTTACTCTCACTATGTAAGAGATAAATGGTACTAGAGTTCCACCATCCTGAATTTCACAAAATGACCAGGAAGCAAGGGTTTTTTAAAGAAAAAAAAAAAAAAGCAGGGTTGGGAAGAGGATACTTGTTACATGTGCTAGCAGTGCACAAATCTGGGATAATTAAGAACAGACTACCTTAAGTCTGACCTTGTATTGATGCCCTGAGAAAATTAAGAGCTTTAATAATGGTAACTGTTTTTAACAAAGTTTTACATTATCTGTGACCACAAGATCTAGAATGCTTTATGTGACATAGCAACAGGAGGCAGGTGCTTTGTTCTTCCTTCAAGAATAAGAAATTAAAAGGCAAAAGATTTATGGATACTCTGTTGAGTTTCTTGCCATTGTAAGCTCATGCTTCATTAAAATTACACTCAAAACACTCCTCTTTTAAGGTCATACTTAGTCTTGAAACTCTGAGAAATAGCAAAAGCAGGAACAAACAGTAAGAAGGAGAGCTGAGATGAAAGATAAACAGAGCGTATAAGCTGCCTCTAATCTTAAGTTTTCTAGAAGAGTTACTTCAGAAGACTTCCAAATGCAGATAAAGCCTTAGAATAGATGGCATGTGGGTCTCTCCTCCCTCAAAATAGTCAGTGTGCTGAGGTAAGGACGAGATGTTAGATGCCTCCATCTGCGCTTATAGCAGCTAAGAGAGTTAACGGGGATATTGGAGTGTGTGAAAAGGGAGAGTGCAAGCAGTCTTTTCAGTCGTTCAGTTTTAAGTAATATGTATATTCTTAACCTAGAGAAGTCTGCTTCAGCTCATTGACTTGTTAACAACTTAGACCTTGTTAGAGCTGTTTTAAGTACAGCTGATACAGTGCATTTGTGGTGGCTATACTGACGCCATTTAAATGCTAGCCTGCATCCAAATTAGTGCTGTTCCCATGTTCCCATCAGTATTGGCTGGAATACTTTTTTGGGTATGTGTCCCACTTTTTTTCTTTTTTCTTTTTTCTTTTTTTTTTTTTTTTTTTTTTGGATTTTTCCCCAAAAAGACAGTCTGT